CGCCGCCAGGTGCTCACCCCATGCCCCCGCAGTGCTGCCAGATCCTGGTAGTGAACGGCGCGGAGCTGGACGTCCGCGACCGTGACGGGTACACGGCCGCCGACCTGTCGGACTACAATGGCCACAGCCACTGCACCCGCTACCTGCGCACCGTGGAGAACCTGGTATGACCCGGGTACAGCCTTCGTTGTCATCTCATCCCGCCTCCCACCCCAGGGGTAGAGGTCTTACCCCTTCTACCAAGGAGGGAGCTGAAGTTCAGGGACGTGCATCCCCTTGCCCAAGGTGACACAAGGAGTACGTGTCCTTGACCACTGTCAGACCTACCTCTCAGCCCAGATCCACTGCCCACTGGGGAGCAAGGCACAGTGAGGTGCAAGAGGACAAAAGGTCAAGGGAAGGGAGACAGGGAGGACCAGAGTCATTCTGACAAGAGATAAGGCTAGGAGAGATCAGAAGACTCCAACCAGGGGCCAGCCAAGTTCATTCACCCACCCACATTATCAGCTCATTTAACTGACAGCCACCCTCTGAGGTAGGTAATGCCAGTGAATCCATGTCACAGGTGAGTAAACTGAATCTCCTGGAGACCCAAGGTCATGCAGACAGTAAGTGGTGGAGGACCACTCTTTCTTGACCACAATACCACATGCTGGTGCATTCCTAGTTAATTCATAACCAGACACTTATGTGACTCTTGTAAATTATTTTATTATGGTTGCTCAGCCATGAAGTAACCCACTGGGGCCTGGACTCAGGTGTGGATGTCACCAAGTCTAGGGCCCTGCCCATCTGTTTTCTAGGAGAAATGAGGTAGGAAGAGGGTGGACCTCACTGACATCTGCAGAAATAAGCTGATAGTTCCAGAAGACAGCCAGGTCATGATTGGGGCTTCCAAAAGAAGCCCAGAGGAGAGACAGTGGATGGTCCCTGGCCTGACTACCCCAGTCCTGGGGTCTGCAAAGAGTAGCAAGGCCCAGGATCAGAGACTGCAGGTAGACTAGAGGATGAATTCCCCCCTGGAAAGGAACTTGCAAAGAGTGTGGGTGGCCCTGCAGCTAGTGAGTACCCTGTCACTGGGGCCTACAAGCAGGGGTAGACACTGTCATGGGCCATTCTGCCCCAAAGGTGAGTTCCTTCCAGCTGAGAGAATCTGTCTCTGTTGTGGGGCTGTGGGCGCAGCAGCAGAGCCCAGGACCTTCCAGGACCCTCCAGTACCTCCTGAGAGTTTGCTCCACTGCTAGCAATAATTTATTGAATTTATTGAATTTTGACTCTGGCGGGCTGAGTGCTTGGCAGGTGTCAGGTTCATCTTCATCTTATAGTAACTGTTGGCACATAAGACATTCTCTAGATATCATGCCATGCATGGCACTTAACTTTTAAAGTCTTTTTTGGCCACCCACTGGGCAAGGAACATTGTACTTACCCATTTACAGATGAAGAAACAGGCACAGAAAAGACAAGTGAGTGTCCAAGGTTGCAAAGCTAATAAGTGGAGGGGGGTAATTTAAAGCCATTTTCTCAGGCTGCAAAGCATGAGTCCCAGCCTTTTGTGTCTGTAGCCCATGGGGGTCAGGACCAGGTGCCCTTGGTGCCCACTAGTGTCAGCCAAGAAAAGGGTACCTTCAGGCCGTCCCCCAAAGCCATTATCCTGGGCTCCCCTTTGGCTCTTAGGATAGTCAGCAGAGGCTGAACCTCCTGAATGTGGATGGGTGGGCACTCTCACCCAGGCAGGTCCAGCTACAGCAGTGACAGATACAAGCCACCAAGGATGCTGGCCCAGAAAAGGCAAACACTCCCAAAGAGCCCCTAATTAAAGGGCCAATGAGCGTGGCTGCCGAGCTGTTACCTGGTACCAGGCTGCCTCCCTTTCCCAGGGGGCCTGTGACACTTCTCAGGCAGGGAGGGGGCATGGGGCAGGGAGGAGTAGGTCTGGGCAGGAGACAGCAGAGAGAGCAGGCTTGCCGGCAGCAGGACAGCATGGGCAATGTAAGCAGGGCCCCCAGCCCAATCCCAGCCTGTGGTCAGAGGCACAGACGCCGAGAGGGAGGGGGACAGGCTTGGGAGCCTGAGCAGGAGCTGCCCAGCCCAGCCCAGCTGGGCCACCAGGCCCCACCCTTCCCCACCCCCAGAGCCCCATCAGGAGACTGGCTGGGTTGGTGCTGGGAGCTGACAGGTTGGGAAAGGAGAAACAGGGGTTTTCAGCAGGTAAGAGGGGACGGCTCTCCCTGTACCCCACCCCAAACCCCCTCCTGAAGAAACACGAGAGCCCAGGCCCTCTGCTGGTTGATAAGGGAAGGCTGGTGCATGGCAGTCTCCCTGGGGTGCAGCCCAGGGCCCCTTCCCTTTGTGGCTTCTAGCCTCCTGAGCAGGGAGGGGCCAGGATGGGAGTATCTCTGGAACCCGAGGTCCTGCTAGGGGGCTGGACTTGAATCTTAGCCTCAGAAGAACCCAAGACCCTTTTGCAATGGGGAAAGGATCTCAGAGAGGGAAGTGACTTGACTGAAGTCACACGGCAAGGGCATGCCTGAATGGGACCTGGCCCAGAAAGCGCAGGTCTGTGGAGAAGGCTTGCCCTCACAGCCCTCCTGCCTTCTCCTCAGAGTGTGGAGCATCGAGTACTGTCCCAGGATTCGTCCACTGAGCTGGAGGCAAAGCAGCCTGACTCGGGCATGTCCTCACCCAACACCACCATGTCAGTCCAGCCACAGAACTTTGACCTCAGCTCGCCTGCCAGCACCCTGTCCAACTATGACTCCTGCTCTTCCAGCCACTCCAGCATCAAGGGCCAGCGCCCTCCTCCTCGTGGTGAGTGGGCTGGAGGGAGAGGGAGGAGGGAAAGCACACTGCCTAGGGCATCCTGCCCGTGGTCCACCACAGGCGGCCCTTCCCCCAGAGGGGACGCCCAGGGTCCTGTGTGCCCACCACACAACCACATGGACATCCACATGTATTCCCCCCAAAACTCACATGCGCCTCACCCATGGTTCATTGTTCTTGCCTACCCACACTCAAAAGTCACATCTGTATGTCTGTAAACACAGTATACACATACATAGGAATGCTCAGGCACACAAGCAGAGTCGTGTGCACCTTACAGGTCTGCATGCACTTACACAAGGACTCACACCTGGGTTTTCACTGGAGAGACACACGCACACAGTGTCTACAGACCAACACAGACACATTCACAAATGCAAAGAGTTGAGTGCACAAATGTGAAAGGCTCAAACATACACACTGACCACACCCTGAGTGTGAACGTGGTCCACCTGCAGTGCCTGTTTCCTGTCGCCAGGTGGTGGACTGCAGAGCTGACTAGGTGCCCTGTAAGGTTGGGTGTGGCCATCCAGACTCCTGCCACCTGCTCTGCCAGGTCTTCCCTGAAGAGCTGCCTCTCCCCTGTCCAGGTGGCCCTGCCCTGCAGGCACACCTGGAGCCCAAAGCCCCCTGCTGCTTCCCCTCCAAACCTGAGCACATTGTCCTCCAACCTTAGTGCAGGGCTGGGGAGCAGGAACCATCCAGCACTGCCAGAGGCCACAGTGAGCCACATCGAATAGCACCCAGAGACTGCTTTGGTGCTAGAAACTAGTGGTTTCTAGGTGGTGGGGAGTCTGGCAAGTTCTGGGGGACAGCCTCTCTGCAAACTCCCACACCCGGCCTTCCCTGCTGCCTCCACAGGACTTTCCAGCGCAAGAGCCGCAGACATACAGAACTACATGGATATGCTGAACCCAGAGCTGGGCCTGTCTCAGGGCAAGATGGGGAGATCTGTACCCCCGCCACCGCCCCCCAGCTTCCCTCCACCGCCCCCACCCCCAGGCACCCAGCTGCCCCCACCTCCACCGGGCTACCCAGCCCCCAACCCCCCTGTGGGGCTCCATGCCGCTGACATCTACATGCAGACCAAGAACAAGCTCCGCCACGTGGAGACAGAGCCACTCAAGAAGGAGGTAGTGAGCCCTCCCCCTGCCTGCCTCCCAGGAGTGGGACTGGCCTGGCTAGTAGACACAGGTGGGGTCCCTGGGTCCAGGGCATGTTCAAGAGTCAAAGCTCCTGATCAGTTCCATGAGGGCTCAGGGCTGCACTGGGCACAGGGAGGTGAGTTAGACAAGCACATCGCCCTCCATGCCAAGTTGGGGTGAAAACATCCGGCCCCAGATGGCTGTGCCTCACCAGGAGCTGGGTCTATGCCGCCTCTTGCATGGAGTGGCAGGTTTTCCCTGAGTTGACAGAGAACGTGTGCAGATTGCCCTCCACTAACATGCCCATGCCCACAGCCATGGGCTCAGGTGAAGAATGGAACCCTAGATGTCTTCCAGGTGGGAGATGCCATGTCGTAGCTTGAGGGTGAGGGCCAGGAGGAGGGAGTGTCAGGTGAGTGAACACCAGCAGGAACCAGCACCCGCTGTCCGAGTGGCCAAGAAGCTGAGGTTGGCTCCTGCTGAGGTTTGAGCTTCTGTACTTTGGAGGAGCCAGTGCTGAGGTGGGCACCCTGGGGGGAGAAGCAAGCACCGTGACCTTAGGAGGGTGGGGTGAGGGAGGACACAGTGATTGTGAGTGGTCCAGGTCACCAGGGACTGCAGGGAAGC